CATTGCACAAGTATCTGAGACACTACCCCTATCAGTAGCTGATGACTGAAGTAATAAAATTAAATAAAAATAATAATATTGAAACACTAATGATTCTGTTCAAATTGCACTTGAGCTCATATAACTAAATACATCAACTTATCATGTTATAGTTGTCGTGCTTATTATCTTGTAAGTAAATAAATAAATATATTAAGGGTCTATACTTAAATGGTGATATTTATGAACATCAAAATGTATGTTTTATGTGTTTTATAAGGTGAAAAACCTGCAAAGTTGACATCATGTGATCATTAAAGTTTCAAATACGTGCATTTAACACAGGCTTACTAAAACTTGAAAACAATTTTTAGTGTCACATTTGCCTATGTAGTTTAATAATAAACTAATTAGTAACTGAAATATGTCTCTGCAATATCATTTGAGATTTAAGTTTGTCAGTGTAATTAATGCAAAACAATATTGTGCACAGTCATCCGTCTACGCCGCTAACTGACGTACTGGCTGGTGTGGGAACACATTTTGACAAATAAACCTGGTCTTGTTTTTATAGAAGTTCTCTGGATGTGTAAAACCTCTTAAACCCTGCGGGGTCGCCCGCTTTAGCTGCTTAGATCGTTAAAACAAATATTCATGTTTAAATGTATGATCAATTTATCAATATGGCCATGCTGAACATCGTTGGATCGGTTAGATTCTCCACATTACCAATGTTAAGTTCATTTAACTGAAACAAAGAGACCCAAAGTCTAACTTCTTGATTTAGCGGTGTAACCTGCATGGCTACATTATATTCCTTTAGTCTGTAAGGGTCCAACGATCAAAAGAATCAAAACAGCTTTTCATAAGAATGTATCCAAGCTGTGAATCCTGTCATGTGAAGTCCATCGCTCTCTGTCTGCTAACTTCTGTCTCCTGCACTCGTTGTGTTTTCATTAGGTTGCTGTCTTCAAAATAAAAGCGCATAAGCCATCTGTCGGAGCTAGATCAAATGAATGATGTGTATTTTATCATTTGATAATTTTACATAATACATCTGTTTGAAATAAAAAACTGTTTGATAGTAGTTTCAGTTTTGTGCAAAAAGAATTAAAGTCCCATATGGACGCCTGTCCCAAATAAAGGCAGGGTCAATTCAGTGATTTTAGCACATAAAAGCCAGGGCTATTATTCAAAGTTTTACAGTATACCAAAACATTTAGTATGGGATTAAACAGATGGAACCAGATCCCGACATGCATGATGTATGTCGAAAAGTACCTTCACACTGTAAAGATGCATTGTAGACAAGTATCTTAATCTCTCCAATATGACAGCAGAGAATAGAGAGTCTGACCCAGAGAAACAGAGAAGACATTTAATGCTAGAGAATAATTGTGGAGTCCAACAGAAAAGCCTTTCTCAGCCTTGAGCCACAGTGGAAACTCCTTTCTCACAGGAAAGCATGAAACAAAACAATCTCACAGAAGGTCATTATATCAAAACACTGGTACACTTTGTGGAAATTATAACACCACATAAGATGAGCAAAGAACATAAAGGATTATTAAAAGTATATACAGTGAGGAAAATAAGTATTTGAACACCCTGCTATTTTGCAAGTTCTCCCACTTAGAAATCATGGAGGGGTCTGAAATTGTCATCGTAGGTGCATGTCCACTGTGAGAGACATAATCTAAAAAAGAAAAATCCAGAAATCACAATGTGTGATTTTTTAACTTTATTTGTATGATACAGCTGCAAATAAGTATTTGAACACCTGTCTATCAGCTAGAATTATGACTCTCAAAGACCTGTTAGTCTGCCTTCAAAATGTCCACCTCCACTCCATTTATTATCCTAAATTAGATGCACCTGTTTGAGGTCGTTAGCTGCATAAAGACACCTGTCCACCCCATACAATCAGTAAGAATCCAACTACTAACATGGCCAAGACCAAAGAGCTGTCCAAAGACACTAGAGAAAAAGTTGTACACCTCCACAAGGCTGGAAAGGGCTACGGGGAAATTGCCAAGCAGCTTGGTGAAAAAAGGTCCACTGTTGGAGCAATCATTAGAAAATAGAAGAAGCTAAACATGACTGTCAATCTCCCTCGGACCGGGGCTCCATGCAAGACCTCACCTCGTGGGGTCTCAATGATCCTAAGAAAGGTGAGAAATCAGCCCAGAACTACACGGGAGGAGCTGGTCAATGACCGGGGCCATGTATTGCCAGATTTTGGGGAACAGCCTCCTTCCCTCAGTTAGAGCATTGAAGATGGGTCGAGGCCGGGTCTTCCAACATGACAATGACCCGAAGCACACAGCCAGGATAACCAAGGAGTGGCTCTGTAAGAAGCATATCAAGGTTCTGGCGTGGCCTAGCCAGTCTCCAGACCTAAACCCAATAGAGAATCTTTGGAGGGAGCTCAAACTCCGTGTTTCTCAGCGACAGCCCAGAAACCTGACTGATCTAGAGAAGATCTGTGTGGAGGAGTGGGCCAAAATCCCTCCTGCTGTGCAAACCTGGTGAAAAACTACAGGAAACGTTTGACCAAACAAAGGCTACTGTACCAAATATTAACATTGATTTTCTCAGGTGTTCAAATACTTATTTGCAGCTGTATCATACAAATAAATAGTTAAAAAATCATACATTGTGACACTACAATGACAATTTCAGACCCCTCCATGATTCCTAAGTGGGAGAACTTGCAAAATAGCAGGGTGTTCAAATACTTATTTTTTCTCACTGTATATAATGGTCTGATTTCTTTTTGTTTAGTATGTTGGTCACACATCATCAGACAAATAATAGAAGAAATATTAGATAAAGATAACACAAGTAACCACAACATGCAGTTGTTAAATGAAGGTTTTTATTATTAAAAGGTAGTGTGTAAGATTTTGTGGTATCTAGTGGCGAGGGTTGTGAATTGCAACCATCTGTCCAGTCTACCACTGCCCCCCTAGAGCATAAGACAGCCACTGTAACTTTTTTTGGTAGATATATTAAGAAACTATATTTACTTAATTATTCAGTAAAACCATATGTTTTCTGACTTGGCCACTGACAGATAACGTGGAAAATGTAAGTCAAGAGTGTGTAACATTGTCACTGTTTCTGCAACACAGTCTATTATAAACCACACATTAGACAAAGTTTATACAAAGATTGAGAAGGAAAACACATTCATTCTCTGTGGTTAAGTCTCCATGCCAAAACTGCCTGCCAGAAATAATATCTAGCCCATGGTCAGATTACAGTGCTTTGATAGCGGCAAAAAATATAAATAAATACTTTAATAGCAGTTAGGGCTGAACAATTAATTGCATTTGCGATATTATCGTGAAGTAATAAAACGAGATTTCCTAATCGCAAAAGCTGCGATTACACTCTGGTCACATGACACCCAAGCGGAAAGTTGATGCTTTGTCTGTACATTACACTGTACCTTGGCTTCTTGTTGTACAATGGCCTTAAACTTGACAGAAGCTGACACTATATAAACTTTAGTCTATATACACATAAGGAATGAAAGTAGCAGCAGCCGCCCACGGGTAACATGGTGGGTGAAATCGTCGGGCCATCCGCCGCTTTGACAGATAGGAAAAATGCACAACAGAAAGACACGTGTAGTAAGGTACACACACAGCCACCAGTCAGCTCAGAAAATATCAGTGAAACGGCGTTTCAGACCAAACTCACAAGTTCGAAAGAGGTCCAGTCTGTCCCGGGTTACAGCCTGGTTACAGCCAGAGCGCCGCTTACCAGCATCAAAGGCTGCGGGGGAGGAGGTGGGGGGAACTTCGGTGTTGTCGGAGATTTACTAAGCTTGTCTATTAAACACGAGAGGCGACACTTATTACACTTATTTTTGTTGGCCAACTTTTGAATTGAACCTCAAACTCAGTATTTTTTATTAGCTTATTGCGATATAAAAAGACGGACTAGGAAATCTGAACACCGATTTGCTGCTTGTCCATTTTGAATAAAACAGAAGGTAAAGAGCTTAAAAATTAATCGCATATTAAATCGCAAAAAAAAATCACAATTAGATTATTTTCCAAAATCGTTCAGCCCTAATACCAATGCTGCAATTGATCTGTCATAACAGCAACAGTATCACTTCCTCTTTAGTAGTTTCGCCTTCAAAATAAAAGCACAAGAAGCTTGTTTATTGCAGTGTTGTATTTGGAGTTGAACCAAGCTTTTACTTTGAAAAATTCTGAAAGACATTAATAGAGTTAGTAGCCTGCTTGACACACCTCTAAAAGAGCCGTCAGAAAACGTGATTCCCCTAAATGTCCTCTGCCTGGAGATCCCGGGGAAATGCAAAAGCATCGGTTCATGGATGCCTATCAAACACTGAAACAAAAACAGTGCAGCACATGCCGTGATCTCAGAAACATTTGCTGCAGAAACCATTTATTGAAGAGAGAAAGTTGTCCCGAGGTGGGATCAAACACTAAACCCTTAAGATGCGAGTCCTGTGCCTTACCGACTGAGGTGACCAAACAACATATTGTTGCAAAAGTTATTTGCTGACCCCTGCTGTATATTATTACTACTACTTCTACTTCTAATGTACGTATTCAACATAGTGATGAGTGTCTACACTGCCTGAATTCTACCAGAAGTAGAACAAGAACGTAGTGAAGAAGCATGCTCTGTAGGGCTGTTTGTCCATTTTAAGCTACTGTAGAAACAACAATGCAATGTGGCGACGTCCATTACATTTATTCATTTAGCTGACACTTTTATCCAAAGCGACTTACAATTGCTATTTATGTCAGAGTCTTGCTCAGGGACACATTGGTGGATGTATCAAAGTGGGGAGCTGAACCCGGGTGTCTCACACCAAAGGCCTGTGTCGTATCCATTGCAACATCGCCACCCCTATGGAAGGGGTGACCCACAGTTATGTAGATATAAATGGCACATTCCAAGATAGTAAAAACATAATGGTTTATTATGTAAGGTCTTAACACATCACTGAAAACAGTTATGGATCTTACATTGCATTTCTGTCAATAGATCCTCAGAAATACTAAACACTGAACCTTTAAGGGGGTAGGGGGGATCCAAAACTACATGGCCCTGTGTGAAAAAGTGATTGCCCCCCTGTTAAAACCAATCAACTGGTTTATCACATCTTTGGAAAGCCGAGTTCAATTTCTCTAGCCACACAGGCTGATTACTCCCACACCTCTACTCAATCAAGAAATCACTTAAATAGGACCTGCCTGACAAAGTGAAGTAGACCAAAAGATCCTGCGATCTGAATAGGAGCTTCTTGAAGAATCAAAGAGAATCTTTTATTTAAGATGAAACATTTCAAACTTGAGCTGACATGTCTTCACCTCAGCTGGAGCCAACTTGAGTGAATCTGTCTCTTTGCATTGACTCGATTTGGATTTGCTTTTAGTCTGAAAAAAACCTTATTTCAGTAATAGAAAATAAAAGTGAATATAGATGTAAAATACAGATTATTTAATGTGGTGGTGGCGCAGTGGATTAGACAAAGCCTCTGGTGTGAGAGACCCACGTTCAATCCCCCACTGTGACCCATCCACCATTTTGTCCCTCAGCAAGACACTTAACCCCTCGTTGCTCCAGAGGCGTGTAACCGCTAACGTTTATAACAATTGTACGTCGCTTTGGATAAAAGCATCAGCTAAATGAAAAAATGTAAATGTAATGTAGGTGATTGTCGATATCGATTACCAGCTATATAAAGCGTGCGAACATCGACAACCCCGCTATATTCAAATGTTAATATAGCTCTCCGTATTAACCAAGCTCTTTACATGTTTACTAATAACTTCATTCAAGCTGGGTCTCTGACATTGACAGAGTTGTTTGAGACAGATTTGTGCAACGGTGTTCATGAGAGCGAGAGCGAGGGAGCGAGTGGAGGTGCTGCGCGAATACTCCTAGTAAAAAAAAAAATCTATACGTGGCGGTCAGTGTTGATATGGTGGCGGACCGCCACAAATAAATCAATGTGTGGTAAACACTGCATCTATAATAAAGGAGTCTGAACACAAGCCTCACTACCTCTTTGTTTTAGCTTTTGACCACATCCCATGGTCTTCTTAGAGTCACTTAACCCCCAAACTTCTTATTTCACCTGATTACCAATGTGTATGGGTATTTAGTAGTGTTGTTGATGGATTCAGGTCCAAATCTGAATATTTTACTGTAAACTATTCTATGTATAGTGCTACAAAAATGCAGAGACTGCCCTCTACTGGTTGTAACCTGGCTACTGCAATTTAATTCGCTGTTGTAATGCTTTCCAGCTCTTTCCAAATCAAACTTTCTAAGCTGTCACCACATGACATTAGTCCAGCACCGTCACATGATAACAGGTGGTTGTATTCAGGGCAGGAGGAAACAGCTAGCTTGGCACTGTGAAAAATGTCACAATGATGCTTTGTCAATGCATTTGTGTCTTTTAAGGGTTCTCCTGTTGGTATAAGATTTGCCACATTGGCCACAGCTATGGTTTATCTCAGTGTGAACACGTTGGTGAATTTTTAGGGTACCTGATTGAGCAAAAGTTTTTCCACACTGTTCACACCAGTACGGTTTCTGTCCAGTGTGAACACGTTGGTGGATATTTAGGGTACCTAATTGAGAAAAAGTTTTTCCACACTGTTCACACCAGTATGGTTTATCTCCGGTGTGAACACGTTGGTGGATTTTTAGGGAACTTAATCGAGCAAACTTTGTTCCACACTGTTCACACCAGTACCATTTCTCTCCAGTGTGAATACGCTGGTGGACTTTTAGGGCACAAGATGTAGTGAAAGATTTCCCACACTGATCACAGCTGTACAGTTTCTCTCCAGTGTGAACACGTTGGTGGATTTTTAGGTCACCTGATTGAGTGAAAGCTTTCCCACACTGATCACAGCTGTACAGTTTCTCTCCAGTGTGAACACGTTGGTGAATTTTTAAGGTACCTGACTGAGCAAAAGATTTTCCACACTGTTCACACCAGTACGGTTTCTCTCCATTGTGAACACGTTGGTGGATATTTAGGGTACCTGAACGAGCAAATGTTTTTCCACAGTGTTCACACCAGTACGGTTTCTCTCCATTGTGAACACGTTGGTGGACTTTTAGGGAATCTGATCGAGCAAAAGTTATTCCACACTGTTCACACCAGTACCGTTTCTCTCCAGTGTGAACACGTTGGTGGATTTTTAGGGCACCAGATGTAGTGAAAGATTTCCCACACTGGTCACAGCTGTACAGTTTCTCTCCAGTGTGAATACGTTGGTGGATTTTTAGGACACCTGATTGACTGAAAGATTTCCCACACTGGTCACAGCTGTACAGTTTCTCTCCAGTGTGAACACGTTGGTGGATTTTTAGGGTACCTGACTGAGCAAAAGTTTTTCCACACTGTTTACACCAGTGACGTTTCTCTCCAGTGTGAACACGTTGGTGGATTTTAAGGTCACCTGATTGAGTAAAAGTTTTCCCACACTGGTCACAGCTGTGCAGTTTCTCTCCAGCGTGAACTCTCTGATGAATCTTCAAATATCCAGATGTTGTGAAGGATTTGTCACAGTGCTGACAGCGGTGACGTTTGAGTCCATTTCTTCCTCTCCTTCTCTATATCAACAGAGAGAAACACAGTAAGTCATGGTGGAGCGAGCTATCTAAAACCATAAATGACAGAGCACATCTTTGAAATCACCTGCTACCCTACTACGAGTATGTACTGTACACTAAATATATGATTGGTATGCTATTACCATGTATGCCCGACTGTTCACACTGAAGTACTCAAGGAAACTTTGTAAAGGCCACTGTTTGCTTTTGGAGGTAAAACAAAAAAATTACATGTGAAAATGTGTGTAAATGCATACAACTGGAATTATTTTGAAAGCACTGCAGGAAGTGCAGAAAGGAGAGATGAATTGCCTGGAAATCTGCAGAACTGGGAGTTGGAAAAGTTTTGCTACGTGTGGTGAAAAAAATCACGTGACAACGTATGATGGCCAGATGAGTCGCATAAGCAACAGTAAATGACCTCTACTTGTATCAACCCTTGAAAACTTTGCCACCTTGTCAAACTGAACCCTATAAATCATTGAGCTACATTTTCATTATTAAATATCATAGGCCTTATAAATACATTATTATTTTTATAATTACTACTGATAATTATTAAAACAAACAATTTTAAGAGGGGGGGTTTGGGGGTCCACCCCCTGAAAGATTTGGGCTTTAAACATGTAATTTCCTGCATTCTGGTGAATTTTTCCGCACCAATTCATTGAGGAAATGTCTTTATTTATATAGAAGGAAACACAAAATTCAGGTGACAATTCAAAAGATAAAAATATATGGTGTAATACAGTGCTGTAAGGCTCTCAGACATTCTGTATTGCTGTCAAATATGTTTCTCCTGTTTCTCATTTTATTTCATCCCTGCTGAGTCAACACACATGCAGACATGACTGAAGTAACCTAAAGTCTTTAAATGTGCACGTGGCACCTTTTCACCTCAATGATAAATTAATTCATTTTAATTCAGTTATGAACCCGTGCACCTTAACAGCTCTTATGTTTCAGCAGGTTTTCTGCTTATGTTCAAAACTTCCTTCACACAAATCTCTCCCACATACATATGTGTTCTCTGACATATGCAGAATAATAATTTGAGATATAATATTACGAGATATAATGAGACTGAAGTCATTAAATTTTAACAAAATATACCTGCCCCACTTCTGTGCATTACCTTGCGTTATTGCTCTGCTGATATGGTAGTAGGCTACCCCCCCCTTCAACCGTCTGACCAACACAGAGCCCGTCTCACTGCTCTTGATCAGAGGTAGAACTGAAAACACTTGTGATCAGACAGAAATATCACCACACATTCAAACAAATGTTCAATTCAGCACCTCTGAAAAAATCAGTGTACCCCCAAGATTCTCAAACTTAAATTTAAGACTTTTTAATACCATCTAGGATAAAATTTAATACCAACTTCACTGCCGTATAATGGAAAATCTCTATGAATTTTAAGCCTGAGAAAATTATTTACAAAAGATACACTTTGTGTTGAAAAGTGGTGGGGGTTCAGATTAGGGGTGTGATGATACACTTAGCTGCATGAACGATTCACAATATTGGGTTAACACTATTTGATGAAATACTCAGTGCTGAAATATACAGGTGCTGGTCATTTAATTAGCATATCATCAAAAAGTTGATTTATTTCAGTAATTCCATTCAAAAAGTGAAACTTGTATGATGTATAGGTGAGCTGGAAAACATCAGCGCGAGCTGTTGTTTACGTTATCTTTACCTTGAATCTAATCGGTTTGTTTGATTATCTTGTGTCTGCAGTTGATGTTTGACTGTATGTTACTTTTACAAATGTGGTGATGTAGCTGTGTGTTTGTAGTTATGAGAAAGACATTTCAACGTTAGTATACATAAACAATGAAGGCCAAAGGATAGTTTGACAATGTTCACAGCTAAACCTACTGTGTGAAAACCTTTTACTGTAACTGCCATTAATTATTTTACCAGAAGTAAAAAAAATCCTGTATGTTTTATTTCTACTGTGCCCTCAGGTCACCTGCAGTCTTCCAACACCCTGTACTTCACTGATCAGACCATGCTGGCTGGCCTGGATTACAACCACCGTGTCCACAGTCCAGCCAGGAGAAAAGCTGATGACACAGTTCAGTATGTTGCATTATGAGAACTCTTGTGCATTTTACTCAATACATTTATAAGTGATGAGTCAAAAAATATTAAACAGTTTGAGGAATACAGACAGATGGTGCTGATTTATTGATGTGATTGCATTTTATGTGGAAATGCTAACTGCTCTATAAGAGAATGATGTCAGGTGTTACAAACTTTTCACTAAGCTGATCCTCCTTTCTGTATTATCAGGTACAGCAAGGTGTACAACAAAAAGTACAGGAAGTGGAGATTGTACTCATTGAAGGTGAGAAGGACTACAGTTACAATGCAGACCTCCAGAGTGCCGTCATCCTCCTCCTCCTCCTCCTCCTGTTGTCTGCTACTGAGGAGATGCCTAGAAGCAGAACCAGGAGACCTGATGATCCCCGTCAACATGGGGTTCAGTCAGGTGTCCCTGCCCCAACTGTGATACAGCAAAATATAAATCAAAAAGTAAAATGGTTGGTTTTGAAATGTGGTAATCATGTCAGAGAGGTGACTGTGATATATTTAATCATCTCCACAGCAGCGACACGAGTAAAGTCTGAACTGTCTTCATAATCAGTCAGGACACCTCTGGACAAACTTTGTCTTTCTTCCTATATACTTATTTTTATTTGACGTTTAAAAATAATCTATTTGTGATACAGGTTGTAGTTTTAGTAGTATTTAATAACAATAAACAAGTGTTATACCACATTTGGATGTCTTTTCAGACATAAATGTAGTTGTTTGATTGTTTATGCTATAAGTGTAAAGAAAAGGCATTTATCAATTTCAATGTTTTATTTAAAAAAAGAATGAAAATAACATCCAGAACAGGGAAAAATATACTTTGTATTTTCTCTCCCCTCCTGGGAATAAAACAAGAACAATGTACAGTGTACAGTGGATGGAATTATTTGTGTAGCAGTTAGTGACATTACATCTTCCACCCTGCTAGGATTAAACCTCTGTATTGTCCTGGTGGATCAGGAGAACAGTTGTGAGTCTTCCAGAAACAGCAACTCAGTATCATGACTCTGTGTCTAAGTGCTCCACACTGCCACACTACAAACTGTCTGTCTGCTGCCTGACTGAACTGCCTGTTACTCTGTCCTGAGTCTGGAAGATCAGCCATGTGTGGTGCATGGAAACACTGTAGTCTGGATGTTGTCCACAGTCCTCAGATTCTGGCCTGTAAAGGAATATATAGTTGTTAGAACCCCAAATGGGAAAGATTGGTGTAATTGGAAAGAACATTCATCAACATGATCAGATATTTTTATTGAACAGGGGCTTGTTGTTTCTAACAGGACTTCTGTGTCCACATTACACACCAGGTCAATGTACATGACACAGATGAGCCGATGGCTGCAGCAGAGCTGTAGTTAGTTGTTGTAATCAGTAAACAAAAGTAATAACCACAGTGATCGATTACACATTGATAAAGCACTTTATTTTTGACAGTCAGAGGGCTTAGAGGGAAACACCAGAGGAACTTTGAGACAAGTACACAGAGAAATAATGTACTGTACTATTAAAATATATGTATATATATACACACCTGTTCATATGCTGTTGTTGGAGTGTGAAGCTCGACGCAGGTATGTGCTGCTCCGCTTGCACCTCGTCCTCCCCGTCCTGCCTCTTCTTCCTCGGACCCCGGCAGCCCTCCCTCCTCTGCTTCGCCTCGACCCCGGTCCTGTCCCGGTCTGTGCTTGGCTCTGGGGTGCAGTCCTCAGAGACAATACTGCTGTCACCATGGAAGCTCTAACATGCAAAACAACGTACGTGTTATGAGTCTAGCACGAAATTCACCTTCGTGTAGTGTAACTGATGGAAACAGGAAAATGTGTATCAGTCTGTTTTTAGCTTTGCCCAATGTTAGCACAGCTGTTAGCACAGCTACCTGATGCTAACAGTTAGCTAGCCAGCTCGTTACTGAATCAAAGTCAGTCTTTTTAAACCGATCCAATATTAACATGCTAGCTTGATAGTGAGTACTAACAGCTGGGTTAGTTGTTTATTTTCATAATGATAAAGTTCGATGTTTTCTTACCCCTCATGTGAGATTCACAAAGAGTGGGCTGCAGCTGGAGTCAGTGCTTCAAGAACCACCACGCACAGACGTATGCAAGACATGGGTTTCAGCTGTCGCATTCCTTGTGTCAAGCCACTCTTGAACAAGACACAGCGTCAGAAGCGTCTCGCCTGGGCTAAAGACAAAAAGGACTGGACTGCTGCTGAGTGGTCCAAAGTTATGTTCTCTGATGAAAGTAAATTTTGCATTTCCTTTGGAAATCAAGGTCCCAGAGTCTGGAGGAAGAGAGGAGAGGCACAGAATCCACGTCGCTTGAAGTCCAGTGTAAAGTTTCCACAGTCAGTGATGGTTTGGGTGCCATGTCATCTGCTGGTGTTGGTCCACTGTGTTTTCTGAGGTCCAAGGTCAACGCAGCCGTCTACCGGGAAGTTTTAGAGCACTTCATGCTTCCTGCTGCTGACCAACTTTAGGAAATAAATCAACTTTTTGATGATATTCTAATTATATGACCAGCACCTGTATTTCCAGGAGAAACACCTAAAACCAAAGTGAGTCAGAAATAACTCCTCAACCCTTAAGCTGTGTTCACACTGAAAGCGAATCCAGCATTTTGGGCGGCTTGATTAGATAGAAAGTCAATGCAAA